TTAGTACAGTACCTGGTTACTTATTAAAAAAAAAGACATTCAAATTCATTAAAGAATTCGATTGATTAACGGAATTTTTAAGAAAATGTTATAAAATTTTTGCCGATGAGCTTCGTAAAGTGAATAGCGGTAGTGGTCGGTTTAGTGTTGTTTGCGGATGATCAGATGTCGGCAAAAATTAAAATTTGAACTTGGCACAAATCTTCATGGTTTCTTCATGATACTATTTTCTTAAGGTTGTGTTTGTTGGATTTTTCTATAATTTCGAAATCTTTTTTTTTTTTTTTGAACAATTTTTTATAAGGTTCAAACTCATGATATTGCGAGTCGTGAGAGCATTTTCCCTTCCTCTTACCCTTTTACCCAATTCGAGTCATCTTAACTTTGAAGAACTTAGAAGTTGAAACATCAACACAAAAGTATATTCTGTGGACATATTTATTGCTCAACTTTTATTGTTATGAATATAGCATTCTCTTAATTTCTGAAAAATTTGCAAATGTTCATTGTACATGTTGACTAATGTGTTATGTCATAAATTCAAGTTTACATGCGAGGGGAAAATTTTAATAATATATCTTAGTCTTAATGACAAATCAACTGGAAATAAGGGGAAAAAAGGCAAATGATCACAAACGCGATATTCATAACTATCTTTAGCCCGACATTTTGGCAATTTTATTCTTATATGTACAAAATTATTTTAAAGTTAAATGTGATAAATCGACGAACATATTTGAGTCTCTCTTTTTTTTTCCCCTTAACTTTAATTTGATACTTGAATTCGTGCTTTGAGAAATCAAGAAGATAATTCAATCAAATCCTAAGGTTTGTTTGTTTGCTTGATAAATTCCTCAAATCTCAAGGGTCCTATATAAACTCATCGTAATGTTTTTTTTTTACTAATCATCATTAACTATGTCATTATTGAATTCGCTGGACCGGATAGCAAGAAAATTAAATTTTGGGGATTTTTTTAAAGGGGATGTCCACGTTCGTGAAGGAAAAAATAGATGTTAGTTTATTAGCAAGTTTAGATCTCTCTCACTGCGTTCAAGGACGCTTAAGGTACAGTATGTTGGATTCCTCAAAATCCAAATCTTTTACTTGAAAAAAACAGACATATGAATGTGGAGTTAGATTCCAGAAGAGAATAAAGTACAGCTAGGGTTTACGTTTGCATGTGATTCTATCAGAAGTTTATGATTAAACTTTGGACAAGTGCCACTGGTTTCCACATGAACATGAACTTCATAGATAGCTTGTACATCTGAAAACAAATCAAATTTGCAAGAAAAACAAACAAAAATTAATAATGTATATTCCCAACTAAAATGGAAGACAAATTTCGCTAGCTCGATCAAAGATGTAATTAGTATTGGAACTTTTTTTTTTTTTGTGGGAAAAATACGTGATTCTCCCTTGTCAACGTTGAAACTGAAATCACGTTGCTTCCAATGGAATATGATTATCCCCGAAATGAAATACATTTATTAAGACGGAGAAAACGCTGAAAATCCTCCCTTAAAATTATTTTGGAAATGATTATTTAATTTAGATTTTCTCTTTAATACATATTGTATTAAAAATAAAATTTAAACTGAACAATCATTTTAGAACAGACAGGAAAAATATCATACCCTCCACCAACGTTAACCAACCTATTAACAAGCTCGTTGGAGGACATAAAATATCATGCACATCAATCAGAACAAACAGAAAACCTTGATGTAACATGTACATTTTTATTGGAATAGAGACTCCAACTCGGTTACCATCTTAGACTCAACTCAAAAAGTTGAAGTAGAAAACCATTGGCAGAAAGTCTACCACCCTCAATCCTAAAAAGAAAATAAGATAGATGCAAGTTTCTCAAAGCCGAGCTCCCTCTCCATGGGGACAACATTCAATATAACGTAAATACATCCTCATGTATCCATAGAGAAGAATAAGCGACACACTCGATGACACACCCTTTATCCATTCAAAACCACCTAAATTAATTAGCTTGCACTATGTATCCTTATACTTAAATAAAAGGCACAGTAGGTAAGAAATAATGCCCAAAAAATATTCGAGGCTCCCCGTTAAATAGATCTCATCTGTCGGATAGGTACGATATGATGTCAGCGACTTATTAGGGTTAAAAACGGAAATTTATAAATTGATTTTTACTAATGAAAAAAAATCATAAATACATCCCAATCTAAAAATAAAAATAAAAAATAAAAAATCCGTAAGCTTTGAGAACAAAATCCTAATTCTCCAAAACGACGTCGTTTTTTATTTCTCCGTTAGATTTTGGTGAAAAAACCCAACCAACAAAACGACATCATTCTATACTTCTTACTAATCAAAACAAAATCCCCCATTTTACCCTCGTCGTCCACCTCATCTGCCTCACCAGAAATATTAGAAAAGAAAAACCCAAAAGGCTCCGCCTCCACTGCCACCCAAAAAAACTCGACGTTCACCTCATCTTTCTCTCCAAAAAAAAAAAACCCCATAAGACACAATGCTTTCTCCGCCTATACTGCCACCCATCATTGTTCATCGTCTTCCTTATTACCACAGAAACCACATTCGACATCAGATCCATTGTGTCGAACTACCGAAGGAGAACAACGGCATCAGTTGTCGAACATTAAATTAAGTCAGCACAAGATGGCATTACTAGTAACCATCTTCACTAAAATTAAACTTCCTCTGAACCAGAAGAAAACAATCGCCGAGTTTTCCAAGTAATTGAATTTGGGAGCGGCGTCAGAATTAGGAAATTCATTCAATAAATATAGATTTGGAATGCAAATCGAAATTTATAAATCTAGGTTTGGAATACAAATCGAAAATTCTCTGAATTTGTATACGGATTGGAAACCTGTGAGTTGGGCTCTTCTCCTTCAAGCTGAAGTCTCTTATGCACGAATAAGCCAGATTAACAATACCGAATAAACTCGGACTACCAGTTGCAGCAAACTTCATCCAACACCTCTTCTTTCACTTCTTCTCCGGTCCATTAAGGTATCTTTTCGATCGATTCAGCTATTATTGTAAGCTTCTTTTGATTAAAAAACTTATTTGGCCGTTCTTTTTTATTCACTAATGTACAGAAACTGTTCAACTATTTGGGTTCTTCTGTTTTTGTGCAACATTGTTTTTTTTCCATATGTGCTATGAACTTTTACAGTTGTTAATCGTTATTGTAATTTCAAAAGATTCTCTAATATTTTTGGTTTAGATTTTGTGGATTGCGCCCTTTTTAAGCAGATGGAGGGCTTCTCACGGGGACAACCAGGTGGTGGGTTTTAAGCAGATTCTGTGAATTTGTCGGATGGCGTCTTTCTCCTCGCCATCGATGACAACAACCGCTACCTCTTCATAACCTGCGCCACCGCGTGGTGCTCCTCAGGATCAGCTTCAAACACGCCGTCGCCACCGCCAAATTCAGCCCCGACGGCAAGTTTATCATAGTAGCTGCTGGTAAGCTCCTCCAAATTTGGTGGTCGCCTGGGTTTGGAATATTTCCCGTATGAGTTGATTAGGACATTTTTAGAAAATTAGAATTTAATTTTTTTGATATTCACAATTTCCTACAGCATCTGCAATATTTGGTCCGAGTCTGTAGGCATTACTTCCATCTGATATGTTGCCTTTCAATAAGGAAAATATATTTCTTTCCATACTCTGGAGATTACAAATGAGCTAATAGATCATCCTTTGTCTTATGCAGGAGTTAAAAGAGAGGATATATTATTTTGTGGTTCTGAGTTCTTGAGTTGTGGGTATACATGAATCAGGGTAATTTGCATTCCCTATATTCTCATTTGATAAAGATTTGTAGACCATGGTCTTTTGAGTTTTACAGGTCAGTTAGCTCTCAGAATATTTTTATTTTGGTTCAAAGCTACATTGACATTGGTAGGTATATCTATATATGCGTGCATATCCATGAGATTTTTTGTCATCTTCTTGTACATCTCATCATATTTTATATATCGCAAAGCTCAATTAGTGGCTAAAACATTTTGACCATTGTAGCTCTCTTAAAAGATCGGAAGCATCATAACCAAGAGGATCCCCTTATTGGAGATGAAGCTCATGGACAGCTCGGAATTTTCGCTAAACCTCTTCCTTGTTTTCGTTGTGGATTAGGATGGTTCTCATGAGTCCTTAAAGAACTTCTTCCCACAACTTGGTTCTCCTGATGAGATAGAGTCTAAGTATATATCTGGGCTTAGTACTATCCTCGCTGCGACTGTGCAGGAAAGCAATAGATAGGATTTCTCAGATTGAGTATGTCTTCTGAGTTAGTTGTATCCTTCTTTTCAAGCCAAATCGAAAACCCTTCAGAAACTTTGCTCCGAGGCCAGAAAATCTGTTGAAAATCATTTCACCGAGAAAGAAGAGGATCTTTTGGTTCAGATTGAAAAGCTTCAGCAGGAGAAGCAACAACTTTGTCAAGAAATCAGTGTTCTAAAGTTGGGGAGGGAGAGTTTGATAAAATTGGCTTGTCACCTGCTGAGATCCGCAAACTCCAGAAAGATTTAAATAGCAAGGATTATTGGATTAAGCACTATCAAGCGAAAGTGAGGAAATTGGGCAAGACGACTGACCTTAAAGATGATATAATAGAATTCAAGACCAAGAAGTTTGATGAATTTAGTGGTAAATATTGGGACACTAGAGACCAGTACAAAAAGGAAGTAGAAGAACTAAAATCAGAAATAGCAAACCAGATTAAGATTGTCGATGCAGGAACGTACTTGCAGAATGAACTTTTTTTGGTGCTTCAGTCATACGCACCTATAGTAGTAGATAAGGAAAAACCCTTTGGAAGGTTCAAAATATAAGGCAGATGAACTTCTAGGCAGATTTAAGGATATGGTTAAAAAGATTCTGAACTTCAAGAGGAACTCAAACACGAGACTCAGGAAGTTGAGAAGGGAAGAGTGGTGGAAGCTAATCTTCTTAGAAAAATAGAATCACAAGGTGCAGAAATAATGGACTATGAACTACAGTCGAGCGGCTTTGAAAAGGAGAAAAAAGTATTAACTACCAAGCTAGAGAGCTTGGAGAATGATGTTGATTCACTGAGGAAAAAGATAAGTAAGAAAAATGATGAAGTTGAAGAAGAAAGAAAAGTAAAGGAGCAGCTCCTCCAGCAAATAGATTTGCATAATATAGAAAAAGTAAAGCAGGACCGGAAATATGAAGAGGTTGAGAAGGAGAAGCTGCATAATCTAGAACAAATAAAGCATGACCAGAAGTATGAAGTGCTTGAAAAGGAGAATAATGACTCTCAAGTCTTAATAATCTACTGGTTTGTCTTCATAGTTTTGTGTCTTATGTTGTGATTATGTTATAAATCATTCTTTAGGTTAGGAGTTAACCATGCATTCGAAACTTAATCCCATCGGAAACAATTAAAATGTACAAAATTGATAGTGTATTCCCAATCCCATATGCAAATCAATCTCAACCGAAGGACTCAGTCCAATCTGTTTATCTAATGTACATCGGCCCACACACAGGTAAAAAGGTGTCCATACCAAGGATTAACCTCAAATGCAACCACATCGGCGTACAGGGGATCGCGTTCAAGAGGTTCTAACTTTCCATGAAGCTCTACGTCGCCATGATTACCAACGAGTCATAGAGACACAGACGCTCGAATATGTCGGTGCGTGAGTTGGTGTTTTCACATGGACAGCTATACACGCCCTATCCAGAGTGATGACATCCAAGGGGGTAAAGGTTCTAGCAATGCCTCCTATGTTGAACGAGGTGTTAGATGACGACAACAAGACTTGAAACATCGTTTACAGAGAGGTCTTTGAGCTCGTCGAACAGTTGGAAATATCAAGGCATACGTGGCTCTCGTTATTTTAATCTAATTTTTTTCCCTCCTTTTTACATAGATATTAATGTTTTTTTGCCATAAACGTACACAAAATATTTATTACCATTATGTTTTTTTGATAAAAATATATATAAACATGTTCTTTTTTACGTTTTATTCTACACTATCAAGTCCAATGGAGTAAATAAATGTTACAATAGACTGGTCGCGCAACGCGCGACAACAAAAGACTAGTTGAACTAAATTTCCTTTTAATGATAATTAAGTATGTGATCTCTGATTTTTGTCTGCTCTGCATAGTATGATGAACACTTAAGGTACAGCCTTCCAGGATACTGGATTTCTCAATCACAATATTTTACTTGGAAAAAGAAATGGGCAAAAGATCTTTCGTAATACTTTTATATTACACTGTATGTGGTAGTATTAGTTAATTTCTGTTGGGCTGGTTATTATTCACCCCAATTGGGCCCAGCATAATGAAAATCAAGTCCAACTTGATTTGGTTTTGTTTGACCGAATAAGGAAAAAAACCAAGTCCAATTTGGACTAGTTTTCAAGGCTTGGTCGTGGGTTATAGAAATCCTTGGTCCTTGTACCTTTTTTTGGTCGTGAGTTCAACCAAAAAAAAAAGGCAGCCACAATTGGGTTTGTGTGAGAAAAATTCAGCCGTATATAGCTTTGTGCGCGAGAGAAAAAAGAAAGAAAGTTAGGGCTTAGTTTTTTATTTAACTCTCTTTTGGTTAGATCATTCGAGTCCTACTATGTAATAGGTGTTTTGGAAGAGTATTGTTATAATCCACCTTTGGGTGAAGTCCTGTGTATTTACCGGTTGGTGAAGACTGTTTTCCCATTATTGTCATAGTGGAGATTTGACTGTTGTTACAGTCCCGTGGTTTTTCCCGATTTGGGTTTCCACGTAAATTTGTGTGTCTACTTTACTTTATCAGTTCTTGAATTAGTTGATTGTTTGGTTCGTTGTCCTATTTTATTGGTAGTAGGAAAGGAGTTTTTCTTGGGAATCGTTTCCAGTGGTTTGTTGTGTTTGTACCCTTTCCGCCACAAGAATTTCTCCGCACATGTTTAATCATGTTGGTTAATCACATGTTTAATGTTTAATCACATATTTAATCACTTACCATTTATTTACAGTATTAATAATTCATTACTTAGATAAGTCTCAACTATTTATCCAGAATTATGAGAAAATTCTAGGGTCCCGTTGTCTATTTTAAGGACTTGGTCTCGTTAAAATTTAACCAATAAAAAAGTGAGACATCAATGTAATATTAAATTTTCTTAATTTTTATATTCTTTTGTGACCTGCTACGCAGGTAAACTTACCAAAATTTAAACATTTGAATAATTTAGGAAAGCTTCAATATTTAAAATAACAAAATCACCATTAATTAATAATTAAGTTTCCTTTTTTCATTATATGTGTTGCACGAAAACATATATATAATTGCACATTAATTTATAAAACATTGCACATAATTCATTAATAATTAATTGCACCATATTTTATTTCTTTTGGTAATTTTATTATTTTTTATTTAAAATTTTCTTATAATCCTTATTATGCGAGTTTTAACGTATTATAATGAATAATATAATAGGACCATGCGCATGGAAATATTAACATATTATATTTTTTCTTAATATAATAATAATCAAACAAGCATTGTACATTCAAGAAAAAAATAAATCGTATGTTTACTTGTAAGTAATTAATTTATTGATCGAAGATAATTATTAATTAATTTATTGATTGCACATTTTCTCATTAAAAATTGCACCAGTATTTATATATGATTGCACATCTCATTAAAAAAAAAAAATTGCACTAGCTACTATAAAAGCTATTATTTGAACATCATCAACAATTATAATTAATGTTAGTACAGTAATAAATATATAAGAACTGTATATTTATCAAAAAAAAGAAGTACATTGCTCACCAAAATGGAGCCTCTAAATAAGGGAATTACGCCATCTTATACAACAATTCAAGATGTAAATACGGAAAATTAAACTCTCTTGATGAGTTATCGTTGGTAATTGCAAAAGAAAAATAAAAAAGGATGTACACACCTTTTGATTTTTTTTTTTTAATTTTTAACTTTTAAATTTCTTAAATATTGTAGTATTCTCATATATCACTTCATCTTCTTCCATTTCCCCTTATTCCAAAATCTCTAAGAATTTTCTGGAAGCGAATAAGAAAATAGATTGGTTTCGTAAACATCAAAAACAACAATCGACAAATTAAGGTACATGATTCATTAAAACAAAATAAGCAATTTTCATCAATTTTTTGGCAAGTATATGAAATTGCACAGGTACAAAAAAAGGAAAAAAAAAACAGAAAAAGAAAAAGAGAACAACCAGCGAGAGAGTGGGGAAAGATAGATAGAGAGAAATTAGGAGAAGATTTCTAATTAGATTATATACCTTAAATAGTTGTAGGTTCCCTATAAAAATTTTCTTATTATTTTTTTTTCAGTTAATGCGAATTCTATGATTATGATTAACTTAAACTAATCTAATGGTTATTAATCAAATAACGGGACCATACCCTCAAAATTGGGAACGAGACTCTAGCTTTACCCAAAATTATATAGCACAAATGTCAAAAAAAATCTTATGTAATATGAATATTGAGTTTGTTTCCAAAAGAGAATAAATTATAGCTAGGGATTATATTTGCAAGTGAATCTAGTAGATACCATAAATCGAATAAACTTTTGACAAATGCCCCTTGTATCAGAGTTATTATTATATGGAACCGAATCTACGAATTGATCTCATTGGATAGATCTTGTCAAGTACTATTAAATTATTAAATCATATGTAAAACATTTCTTAAGTTTGCATAGATTAAGAAATTGCGTGTTTTAAAATTTTTGGACTGCTTAAATTTAATTTTTAAAATTACGTAGAAGGCCCCTATTTTACAGTTATATTTTTCTTAATAAAAAAATGAGAATCCAGGGTTTTCCCATAGTTCCAGTTCCTCGTAATAATTTTCCCTTATATCCACAAGAAAAGAAGGTGCTTGACTGTACATCTTTTAGGCCTTGTTTGTTTGTCGTTTCATTTTACTTTTTGTTTCATTTTACCTCTTAAACACAAATCCCAATACACTATCCAAACATCAATTTCATTTACCTTTTAAACTATTGTAAAGTTTAGTACCGATGGTCACTAAAATATTTTAAAGTTTTAAGTTTGGTCACTAAATTATTGTAAAATTTAGTAGCGGTGGTCACTAAACTATTGTAAAGTTTTAAATTTGGTCACTAAACTATTTTAAAGTTTTAAGTCTAGTCACTATACTATCACACTTTCAAAAAATGGTCACTATATTATAATACTTTCCAAAATTTGCCACTAAACTACATTTTGAATCTCCTCCCAAAATCAAATGAAAAACTAAAACAAAACGTTGTCCAAACATTAGTTTAGCTTTCCAGTTACGTATCCAAAGCAAATGGAAGACAAATTTTAATAGCTTGATCGATTGTCATTTATATAAACTAACGGTTTAAGAGTGCAGAAATTATTTTTGGACAACGATGAGATTAGTATGTATGGTTGCATTTTGTATTGTTTAGACTTTCTAAAAGAATCGATCAGCCATTCTAGGGTTTCAGAGTAGAAGAAACAAGAAATGAATTTGGTAAAGTCAATCTGTATATTGATCAAAAATGTATTTTGTATCACATGTGTCTTCATATACATAGCTCATTATTTATACAGGTTAAGAAGCAATGTACAAAGACTACACTCCCCCTACTTATTTGCCGCCTTATATATACTTGAATTTGCTAACCGACTTAACATAAAATGAAACTGAGAACTGAAGGGACTTCACACCAAGCTTGGATAAGAGACTGGAAAACTGAGGAAAGGTCAGTGCTCTAGTGAACAAATCTGCAATTTGTTCAAAGGTAGAAACATGAAGAGGAACTAAGAATCCCTTTTGATATTGTTCCTGAACAAAATGATAATCAATGTCAAGATGTTCATGAAAGACCTGGTTCTCAGTAATATTGATGGCAGCCTGATTATCACACCAAAGTGGAACAGGAAGTGTGGCAAGAACCTGTAGATCATGAAGGAGATAAGTGATCCAGAGAAGCTCCTTCGTAGTGATGCTAAGACTCCTATATTCTGCCTCAGCAGATGAACATGATATGGTATTCTGCTGTTTAGTTTTCTAAGAGATCAGTGCTGAACCAAGGAACACACAATAACCAGTGATTGAGCGCCTATGGACTGGATTAGAACCCCAATCAGAGTTAGCATAAGCCTCCAGTTTAAGATGTGATTGTGCTGGATAGAACAATCCTGTGGTTGAGGTACCTTTCAAGTATTTCAGAGTATGCATGAGAGTTGTCCAGTGGTCTTCACAGGGTGAATGAACAAACTTGCTAAGTTGTTGAACAGCATAAGAAATATCTGGCCTGGTGAAGTTAAGGTATAGAAGTT